GACCAGTCGTCCTCGTTCGGGTCACGGGACAAACGTCTGTCTAATTCTTCGTCGCACTTAGGGGCGCAAGCGGAAAACGCCCCATCCCCGCCAGCCTGACTTAAGTAGTCAGACCAAGTTCCGCAATCTAGGTACATGCGAGGCGACGATGAAGGACGGAGCTTGGGGCCCAGGGCCTTTTCCACTCAGCTTACGAGTGAGCACCCAAGAGTCGTAAAAATTCCTCTGGCCCCAAGAGTCTTCAAGCTCAGACACCAGCAGCCCAATCTCACGGTTTCTGTCGCGCCTCGTGAGCCTATTGACTTCTCTGTCAGCGCGCCTACAAAGCGTGATGTGCTTAGAAAGCTTGCTGTGGTCCCAGAATACCTGGGCGAAGGCAGGGCAAACGCAAATCAACCTGCCACCGTCGACGCTCGGGAGCAGGGGCAACAACGAAGAGGGGGCGACAGGGGGCAAAGGAGGGGGAAGGGGCAGGGAGGGAGCGGAACATCTAAGCTCCCTTAATTGGGAGCGTAGCACAATACGCCTCGACAAGGCCTCTGAGGTGTCCTCAGGGCGCGACACTCGCTTAGGTTGGGCTTTGAAAAACTCTTCTGCAATAGGCCTCACAGCGTTGTGTACGTGTAGATACAGAGCATCACCACATTGTCGAGCATGCTTTTCTGCGTCGAGTGCCACTTGGCCAAGCTCGCGGTTCACAGCTTGAAGAAACTCCAATCTTCTTTCACCAAAGAGTATAGCACGGTTTAACCTGTCATGGTCCCACTTCACTTCTGTTTTGTTCTCGGGGAAGAAGGGGCCTATGTCCAGCACTGCAGCGACAGGGTAGTGATCTCTCCTAGTACGCGTATTGATCAGCTGCATTACTTCCCCAGTTTTTCCCATACTCTGCAATGTGTCACACTTCTACGAACATCGCTGGTATAACAAACGTAGTCAACCCTAGCTGTCGAAATTCCATCACCATGGTAGTACGTCGGAAAACAATCGAAGAATGTATTGGTAACATCAAGATGGTGCTCTTCCAGCATCTCTCTGAACATGTGACCGTTTGTGTTCTCTATGTCCGCATTCCGTAAGCCGATAGAGCTGCTGTTGACTGACCCAACTCGTGCATTCGCGTCCAGTAAAATGATGGGCACAGTGCGAGCAGGTAGCGCACTCAGCAGTTCACTCAAATGCTGCCAAAACTTCTCACATACTTTGTGCGCTGCAGCCCGACCACGGCCCCCTGGAGGTTCCACAGGAGCGTATCCAACAATAGCAGTGACATCTGACCTCTCCGTCTTAAAACGCACGGCACCTAGGCGCCCTGCCATATCACCAGGAAAACTCCCGATACGTCGTACATGACTAGCAGAAAAGAACTTGTCCGAAACCAGCAGCGCGCATCCCGTCGGACGACCTGCGACTCCAGCGCTGCGACCCCACTGGAAGCGTAAAAAGCGACCAAGGCGATCCTGTGCGCATGGAGCGTCCGTAGGAATTTTCGTGCCCGAGATGCCCACGATCCCACAGCTCCGAAACTGCCTGGATACGTCATGCCATCGTCCCGCCTGCCTCAACGAAAGAGGGTTCCATGAGCAGCAGCGGAACCTCATGGCCGCCCGAGTCTAACACCATGGGGGCAGTGTCATGGCAAGTCAAGGACGTGCCTGGGGGCGCACTTTGCCCCGCAAAAAATCATGCCTGAGCCGTGGAGGCTGAGGAGGAGGAGGAGGAGGAGGAGGAGGAGGAGGAGGAGGAGGAGAGGGAGGGCATCGGAGAGGAGGGCGGCAGCAGGGGGCACAGGTAGGGCGAGCTGAGAAAACGGCAGCTCAGAGTCGGTCCCGGACCCCTCCCACAAAAGGGTATCCTTAGAGGGACAACAAAAAACGGCATAAACATACACTGTCGGCGGTCCGCACGGCTTTCTTGGCTGCGCGCTGGACCCCCCTCCCTGGCGCGCGGGCACGCCAGGGGGGGCACCGGAGGCGCCGCCGGGGGGCCCAGCGCCGATCCAAGAAACCCGCTTGGAGCGCCACAAGTTCATGTACTCCGTGGGGTCTCGAATGGATGAAAGATGGCTGGCCAACCCTGGGGTAAACGATGGGCGGGCCTACCCTCGATGGGGGTGCGTCCGAATATAGCCCCTTGGGGTGTACCCCAAGCTTCCCGGGCGGAACTCGGGGACTAGAGGCCTCCTATATGGAGTCGGAGCAGAAGGGGTCGGAGGATCGCGCCGCATCGCCGATACATCGGCGATGCATCGGCGATGCAGCGGCGATGCACCAGCGAGGCACCAGCGATGCATCGTCGACGTCGGCGATGCATCGGCGACATCGACGTGAAGCAAAGCGGGCTGCACATCGAGCCGCATCGTCGATGCCTCGCCGATGCGGCGCGATCCTCCGACCCCGTCTACATTACGACCCAGTCTAGGAGGCCTAGACAAGCGCAACTGATGTCCGAGCTGCGTCCTTCCGTGGCGACGAGGCCCCCCCCCTCCCGAGAGCCCACCGCCGTTGTCTCAACCCCGCCCTCCTCGGAGCGCTGGGCAGGCTCCGATCGCACCACGAAATCGCCAGCGATCCCAGGGCCCAGACGCGTCCGCCGCGGTGGCGAGGGGCCCCCCGAAGGCCAACTGCCGTTGTCTCATCCCGCCCTCCTCGGAGCAGTGGGAGGGGGGCTCCGATCGCCCGCGTCTTCGAGGCGAATACAATCGGACCTAGGCCAGAAGAACATCCCTCCGCCTCCCCTTCCCCTTCCCTCTCCGCCTCCTCCTCCTCCTCCTCCTCCTCCTTCCCCGCCCCCTCCTCCTCCTCCTCCACCTATTCCTCCTCCTCCAACTCCTCCTCCTCCTCCTCCTCCTCCTCCTCCTCCTCCTCCTCCTCCTCCTCCTCCCGCCTCCTCCTCCTCCTCCTCCTCCTCCTCCTCCTCCTCCTCCTCCTCTCTCTCCCCTCCTCCTCCTCCTACTCCTCCTCCTCCTCCTCTCTCCTCCTCCACCTCCTCCTCCTCCTCCTCCTCCTCCTCCTCCTCCCCTTCCTCCCGCTCCCCCTCCTCCTGCTCCCCCCTCCTCCTCCTCCCTCCTCCTCCTCCTCCTCCTCCTCCTCCTCCTCCTCCTTCCCCCTTTCTCTCCTCCTCCCTCCTCCTCCTCCTCCTCCTCCTCCTCCTCCCTCATCCTCCTCTTCATCCTCCTCTTCTACTGCTTGGGGTAGGCCCTACAGTCGGACCCAGACCAGAAGCATATCCTTCAAGAACGAGAGGCCCTCCGCCGGCCAGAGCACACAGAACAGTCAAGGGCACCCTCCCCCTTTGGATGCACAAAAACAACCCACAGACACGAAGAGAACATTAGGGCACCCGCCCCGAACCGACCTCGACCTTGTGCCTCGGTCCGGCCGTACTTGTAGTGCCCGCCACAGGGCTGCCCACCCCTCGTCTCTGAAGGGGCCCCCCGACACACAAATAAATACACACAAGTTCAAATATTCACCATATTTCCTCATATTTTCTGGGTTCTCGTCTTCACCCCCACTTCCGATATTTTTCCAATATTTTCGGGGGAACCGACGATGAATTGTGTCTGTGTGTGTGTTGTCCCTCCTGAGTTTCTCTCATTTGGCAACATCCTCATGACAGGATGCCGACCCTGTTGGCTCGCGCGCGCGCCGTCCGCATCACGAGCCCAGCAGAGCGACAGAGGAGGCCACGAAGCAGATCCACGGCTCCAATCGAGAGGGGTGAGTGAAGGGGCTCAAGGACACACAAATAAATACACACAAATAAGAGGATTCCCTACATTTTCCCATGTTTTCTGGGTGTTCGTCTTCCCCCTCACTTCCCATATTCTCCCATATTTTCGGGGGCATCGACGATTCATTGCGTCTGTGTGTTTTTGTCCCGCCTGGGTGAGGGCCGATGCTGCACCATCTGGCGCTGCATCGCTCGGGGGGGAACGCTAGGGGGGGGATAGCCAAGGGCAGGGTTAAGCCGGGCCTGTCCCCCCTAATTACAGGCCGATTGTGGACGAAAAATGGAAACTAGTCAAAAAAATACCCTAAAATGCTCAAAAATGGTCAACAAATCATCCCAATACTATGTTTTACCATTTTTGAAGATGCCCCCTGTAGAGGGACAGGCCCCACTTAAGGGTAGGGTAGAGAATCAGCTCACGTAGCTGATTTCCCCAGCGCCACAGGCGCCGGGAGGCGCCCATGTATCGAGGAATGGGCCCGGCGGCGGGGACGAAAACAGCTGCATGCAGCAGATTTCGTAACCCCCCCTTTCCCTATCCCCCCTTTCGTTCGGCCCGAATCGCCCAGGACGGAGCGGCGATCCAAAAGAACCCACGACATCAACCGGGGCGTCGACTGCACGCGACGCCTGGCCATCGTCAAACACAAACCCCCGGAGTCGTGAGGCTTGCCACAACGTTGACCCCCAAAAGTGGTCTGGACCCCTTCCCCAGGACCGGTTTTCATCCCCAGTCGCTTTTGGACGGTCCTGGGGCCGGGTAAGGGCCCCGAGATGCCGAAAATAGAGAGACACCTCAGCGACGGTCGAAAACAGGACATACACGCGAGGTGACACAGCGACCTTACGCGGCGGCTTACGTGGGCCGCCAGCGCGGAACACTACGCTGGAAACGAGGGCGCTTACGCGCGACCTTACGCGTGCAGCTTACGCGCCGATGTCGGCGCAGACGACCCCGTTCCTTTGCGATCGCTCGCCTGCCGCCGTCGCGATGCTTCTTCACGACACAAGAGTTATGTTGTTCCCATCCTACTTAAGGACCACATCCCCGAAATAATTTCGAATACCCGGGAAAATGTCGAAAGAATGTCGAAAGAGTGTCCTAACAGTGCCGGGCGAGTGAGTGTCTCCCAGAGCCCGACACGTGAAAACCCTCGAGTTTCGTTTGTTTCTGGTGCTCGAAATTTTTACTGGTGATCAAGGCTAAAACTAGGTTGGAACATCATAACACAAGAGGGATCTGGGAGCACACGCGGGACGCGAGCCTGCCGCTTCCGCCTCCGGAGGCGCCTGCTCCACCGGCTCCGGCGCGCCCGGGGCCGCCCCTGCCGCCCTGGCGCCTCGGTGTGCACGACCAGGAGGGGAAGGGAACCGAAACTCGATCGTCGACCCCTCCTCGGATCCTCGATCCCTCCTCTCCGATTCTCGATCCCCTCCGCGTACTCGCTTCTCAATATTCATTCGATCATCGTGCTTTTTAATGGCTTGTTTGGGTGTTTAGAGATGTTCGTCCAGGCGGGTTGTGGGCCCCTTCCATTAATGACAAAATCTGGGGTACCCAGAGGGGCGCCGAGAAAGCACCAGAGGCCCCCAAGAGCGTCCCAACAAAGCCACAACAGGTGACGATTCGGGCTCCGACCGGGGGCCCCAAATTGATGTCACCATATTTTTGGTCGACGTCCTCCAAGATGGCCGCAAGAGGGCCCCCAATGCCCCCAAGAGGCTCGAGACCTCCGAGGGAGCTCAACCGGTGCCCGCATGGTTTCCAAGACGCCTCCAGAAAGCCTCAAAGTGGCTATCAGACGGCTCTCAGTTCGCTAGATTGTTTACCCTCTTCTTTCATGACCACCCACCTGGGCATCGATTCTGGATACTTTTGTTTTGCACTGCGGCTCCAAGGACGATTCCAGAGAGCGGGTCGTATCGAGCATGGGGAGGCGCGCGAGAGAATTGCCGGCGGGCCAAAAGCCAACGCCGGAATGCAATAAGCGAACGCACGCAGCGGCATTCCAGAGAGCGGGCCGAACCGAGGTGAGGCAGCACGCGAGATAATTGCCAGCGGGCCAACAGCCGACGCAGGAGTGCACGAGCGCCAGAGGGCGCGAGGGGAAAAGACACACAAACCGCGGCCCCAAGGACGAGCCCCGAGAGCGGGCCGGAACTAATTGCCAGCGGGCCAAAGCCAACGCCGGAGAGCACCGGTGCCAGAGAAGGCGTAGCGAGCTTGGGGGGCCAAGCGAGATAATTACCAGCGGACCAAGACCAAACGCTGGGATGCAAGTGCGAAGCGAGATGATTACCAGCGGGCCAAAAGCCAACGCCGGATGCACATGCGAGGTCCAGGAACCCTCACTCACGGAGCAATTGAGGCACATGGACAGCTGCACAGCACCAGTAGGTGAAGTACCACTGAACACGGCCATCAGACGAAGGGCAGCGCGGGGGGCGTGCACCTTCCCGCCGACAGCACCACGTAGAGGTGAGCCCGGGCGGGCAAAGACCGTGACCGAAAACGATGCCAGCGATGAAGCCGAAGTAAGCGTCTGCCAATGGGGGGGTGCCACATCAGAGACGTGCAGGGACGGAGAGGTGGAACGATGGGGCGACCTTAGGCCGACGTACCCATGCGCTCGAACGCCCGGGCGGGCGCGGCGGGCCCATGCTCGAGAAGCAGGCCAAATCCCACAGCGTGCGTGGATTATTTCAGCCGACGCCACGCGGGCTAATGCACGGCGCACCGTGGAAGACAAGCCGCAACCATGCCATCGGGCGCCCCACGTCCAGGGGGGAGTGCAGGGGGAGCCGCGACCTGTCGCTGAGCTGGAACAACCACGACGAACGCCCTGTTGTGGTTGTGGAGCGAGGGGGCGGGCCTTAAGCCGACGAACCCAGCCGCTCAAATGCCCCGGCGGGCGAGGCGGGCCCGCGTTCGCGAGAGCTGGGCCAAGTCACGCCGTGGGCGTGGATTATTTCAGCCGGCGCCACACGGGCAAAGCCGCGGTGTACCGTGGAAAGCAAGTCGCAACATGGTCCTGCTGGTGTCCCACATCCAGGTGAGGAATGCAGGGGGTGCCACGACATGTCGCTGAGGTGAAACAACCACGAAGGGCGCCCAGCTGCGGATGCCGGTGAGAAGATGGGGGGGGGGGGGGGGCGCAGCCGATAGCCGCAGGTCAGGTGAATAAGTGGGAACCGCCGCCGAGGGCCCAACGCCCAGCATCAGCCATGGACGCGCGCAGCGTGGTCGGAAGGTGGCCAGGATGGAGACTGTCATTGAGTGAACGTCACCAGGTCGATGCTGTCAGAAGTGCTGGTACTGGAGCGAGAGGGGGGGGGTGCCTGTGTCCTGCAGCCCCAACCATCCCAGGTGGGTGCGCGGCGGGCACCTCGGGCCCATGCCAGAGAAGAGCCCAAGTGAACCGCGTGACGGAAATATGGCAGCCGTAACCACATGGGCTAGAGACCACGCTGAACCGTGGGAGTCTAGACGCAGTGGGAAAGGCGCACCTCGTTCCCAAGAGGTGGTACGAATGTATTAAGGCCGGGGCCTGCCACTGCGGTGGAACCAGCCCCTGCTGTTTAGGGGCTATCCACGGAGGGGCCTGTGGGGGCAGTCCCTGCAGCGTCTGTATCCTCGTGACCTCTGCTCCTGTGGGCGGCAAAGGGGCGGTAGAGGACCATCGGACTGCCGACCCACTGGGCCCCGCAAGGCACGTCGGGGGACCAAATGGCCCACAGGGTCAGCGCAATGGAGCCAACCTTGTATAAGGAGGTGGAGGCAGCCCCCAGCTGTCCGAGGTCGTTGTCGTCTAGAAAGCATGCGCGGCGCTCTGAGACGGGTTGAGTGGCGACTCGTAGTATGGACATGACTAGGGGGGAAAGGCCTTGAGCCGCATATGAGCTGCAGGACAAAGCGGGAAACCCTCTCCATCTGTCTCCCACGGAGGTGCTGCCTTCCTGGGCCAGGGGAGAAACAGTGGGGCAGCGCTCCGACCGGGTGGGGCCGTCAGGCCCACTTGCGGGCGGAGTCCCATCCGCGCTGTCGTTTGTCAGCATACTGAGCGTCTCCTCTGGGGGCCGAACGTTTCTCCCTGGTCCTCCAGTCGGAGCCGGACCACGCGTCCTGGCGGTGGTCCCACCCTTCCCATGCCTGCCATGTCTCCCATCGGGCTGCGGCACTGGGTGGGGTTGTCTGCTCGGCGACCCTGTAGTCGGTGTACGCCGGAGGGGGGCAGGCAGCCTCCTTTGGTTTGCTCCATGGGTGCCGTCGGTCATCCCTGGCGGGCTCGCTTGAGGCAGCCAATTGCGCGGTTTCCCTGTCGTCGGAGGGCGCTGAGGGCGAACAAGGCGCCGCCTTGCTGCCGTCTGCCCATGGGCATGGGCGTGCGCCACCCTTGGGGCCGTCGTGGTGCGTCCTGGTGTTACGACGTAGCTGATTGCGATGTCTCTCCGTAATGATTGGCCAGTCTACGCGGAGCTGGTGTTCGTCGTCCATCCTGTAGGCGTCGAAGCCCGCTTTGCCCAATGCCTGAAGAAAGTCTTCGCAAAGCTGCACGGAGTTCTTCTCGGGGTCGGACTTAATGCTGACCCATGGGCCCCCGTGCTTGCTGACTGACTCACGGACCCAGGCGGGCCAAATCCCGTTGCAGGCGCCCCCCAATGTCCTCTGCAGTCGGCTGATCTTGTCTTGTGCTGGCTCTTCCTTGTTGGCGTCTGCTTCGCTGATGGAGCTAAGGTACATGGGGGGACCGCACATAAGGTCGCCAGGGCGCGCCTGTGAAATGGATGCAATATGCGGCTCGCTTCCTCGGCCTGTGCTGCGCTGCTGCCAAGAGGCTGGGGGGCTCAGTGGCGGGCGCTCTGTGTGGCTGAGAGCGGCGTCCTCGGGAATTGTGGTCGGCCGGGGTTCTGCCTTGTTTTCAACTAGCCTCAGCCTTCTGTCGAGCCTCCGGTCGCCCCACATTGCGGCTCGGTAGGAACGCGAGTGCCCCCTGGCGTACGGCGACGAGGCTCTGGACTCGGCACGCTGTGTGGGATTGGTCCACAAGACTGGCGGACTGTGGGAGGCATCACTGTCGCTGTGCTCTGGGGTGTCGGCTTTGACCACTTGGCGTGCTGGACTGGCTCGGGCCTCGGAGTCTTTCCTGTCTTGGTGGACTCCCTGCGCGCGCCATTCTGACTCTGACTCGTCGCCGCCGCCACTTCCACGATCGCGCGGGGACGGAGCCTCCCCTCCCTCACCGCTGGGCTGCCCTGGCGCGGCAGGCGGCTGGGGGATAGCTTGGGCGGGGGGGGGGGGGGGGGTCGGGTGAGGTCGCCCGGGGACGGAGCCAAACCGCGTTGGGGGATCCTCTTCCGCACCGCGGGTCTTTCCGTCCTTCCGCGAGCTGGCCAGGAGCTTGACTGTTCCTTCTACGAGGTCGTCCTTTGTTTGTGATAGGAAGGTGGCTAGTGTATCCAGTGGCTGTCGTTGTGGGCACTGACCTCTCTGGCTGTCGAGTTTGTCAACGTTGCATCGCCATGCCTCCTTGTACTTCGTGCTGCGCTCCACTAGGTGCGTGACCACGTTGGCTGCGGCCGCCCTCCGCCCGTCCCACTGGATGTGAGGGGGATGCCCGTTCGTAGGTATATCGCCCCCGTAGATGGACTGCAGGAACTGCGCCAGGTGCTCGCGGGGCCACCCCGACTCGTCTGTCACCTCCCCCACGACTTCCCTTCCCAACCGCTGGGTGTGGGCCACCCAGAGGGAGTAGACTGAGTGGCTTCACTCGATCAGGAACTCGACCAACTCGCGGACGGGGCTCCTCGACTGCTCCCCGCCGAGACGGCGGGTGGAGTAAGTGGGAAGTGGGGGCGCAGTAGGTGGTGGGAGAGTCGGTAGCGAGAGGCTGCGAGCACCGCGTCCGTCTCTGCCTTCCTGCGGGGGCGGAGCGAGCTCCGTGCTGCCCTCGGCCGATGCTGTGGGAGGGTTGGAGCTTGCGGTTGGCGCTGGACTGTTTGGGGAAAGATGCGCCGCCATGTCGTGGATGTACCAATCCTCTGAATTCTAGCTAGTGGCTGCCCTCATGGTTGGGGGGGGGGTCTGGGTATATATCGCTAGAGCATTGGTCCAGTGCACGGTCAAGGGCGCTAGGGGCAATGTCCCAGATGTGCACCAGGCACCTCCTGCAGGCCCAGCTGGCATTCCACTGCTTCTTGGTCCGCAATGAAGGCATTGCTTCCCACGGAGGGAGACCTGTCGCGGCACTGCAGTCCGCGTCCGACTCTGCGCGCCAAATGAAACAGCCCAATGCGGGCGCGCCTGCCGGCCATTCCAGCAAGGGGGAAACGGGGGGACAGA